CACCTGGCTCACCTGGCTCACCTGAAACAACCTGGCCTGGCTCACTCACACACCCACCTGGCCTGGTCACACACACCGACACCGTTTGTCTCTGTGATCACACATTAATAGACACGTACTGCTTCTAACCCATGCACACATACACATTACTGTACTGACACTGTTTAACCCAGACACACACAGTGCATTGCACACTGCACACAGTGCATTACTAAAATGGGACACTGTTTACTCTGTGATTACATTGTGTCAGACATTGCAGAGACACATACACAGTGTATCACTTGCACTACTAACTGCCTAACCTGTGTCTACAGTGTCCGTGCACAGTGGCCATATTTACATGTGTCCACATGTTAAAACAGTGTCTCAGTACAGTAATATCACTATTAATATGTGTCTACAGGCCCTGTACAGTAATACACTATTAATATGTGTCTGGGGTTAAACAGTGTCCCACAGTAATACACCATAATATGTGTCTACAGTGTCCCAGTACAGTAATACTCATATTATGTAAGCCTACAGTGTCCCAGTACAGTAATACACTATTAATATGTGTTGTGCCCATATGTCACAGTACACTATTAATATGTGTCCACAGGTTAAACGTGTGTCTCAGTACAGTAATACACTATTAATATGTGTCTACAGTGTTCCAGTACAGTAATACACTATTAATATGTGTCCACAGGTTAAACGGTGTCCCAGTACAGTAATACACTAATTATGTGTCCACAGTGTCCTGTAGCACAGTAATACACCACAATATGTGTCTACAGGTTAAACGGTGTCCCAAATACACCATTAATATGTGTCCACAGTGTCCCAGTACAGTACTGACACTATTAATATGTGTCCACAGGTTAAACAGTGTCCTGTGACAGCACACACCATACAGTGTGTGTCCTCAGGTTAAACTGTCCCAGTACAGTAATACACTATAATATGTGTCTACAGTGTCCCAGTACAGTAATACACTATTAATATGTGTCTACAGTGTCCCAGTACAGTAATACACTATTAATATGTGTCTACAGTGTCCCAGACAGAACCCAAGGTCTACAGTGCCCAGTACAGCACACACTATTAATATGTGTCTACAGTGTCCCAGCACAGTAATACACTATTAATATGTGTCTACAGTGTCCTAGTACAGCAATACACACTATTAATATGTGTCTACAGTGTCCCAGTACAGTAATACACTATTAATATGTGTCTACAGTGTCCCAGTACATTAATACACTATTAATATGTGTCTGCGTGTGTCCCAGTACAGTAATACACTATTAATATGTGTCTACAGTGTCCTAGTACAGTACACACTAATATGCCACAGTGTCCCAGTACAGTAATACACTATTAATATGTGTCTACAGTGTCCCAGTACAGTAATACACTATTAATATGTGTCTACAGTGTCCCAGTACAGTAATACACTATTAATATGTGTCTACAGTGTCCCAGTACAGTAATACACTATTAATATGTGTCTACAGTGTCCCAGTACAGTAATACACTATTAATATGTGTCCACAGGTTAAAAGGTGTCCCAGTACAGTAATATACATTAATATGTGTCTACAGTGTCCCAGTACAGTAAGACACTATTAATATGTGTCTACAGTGTCCCAGTACAGTAATACACTATTAATATGTGTCCAGGTTAAAATCCCAGCAGTAATACACTATTAATATGTGTCCACAGGTTAAACGGTGTCCCAGTACAGTAATACACTATTAATATGTGTCTACAGGTTAAACGGTGTCCCAGTACAGTAATACACTATTAATATGTGTCTACAGGTTAAACGGTGTCCCAGTACTGGCAACAATTTCAACACGAAATGTCACGGTTTATGTTGATGGCCGGATGCAGTCTCTCTTTTAACCTCACCATGTTGTGCCAGTGTATTGTGAGGCCTCTGGCGACCGGGTGAGTGATGTGTGGAGGCCCCTAGTGACCAGGTGAGTGATGTGAGGCTCCCTAGTGACCAGGTGAGTGATGTGAGGCCCCAGTGACCAGGTGAGTGATGTGTGAGGCCCCAGTGACCAGGTGGTGATGTGAGGCCCCCAGTGACCAGGTGGAGTGATGTGTGAGGCCTCAGTGACCAGGTGGTGATGTGAGGCTCCCTAGTGACCAGGTGGAGTGATGTAGGCCCCAGTGACCAGGTGAGTGATGTGTGAGGCCCTAGTGACCAGGTGAGTGATGTGAGGCCCCCTAGTGACCAGGTGAGTGATGTGAGGCCTCAAGGTGACCAGGTGAGTGATGTTTGAGGCCCCTAGTGACCAGGTGAGTGATGTGTGAGGCCCCTAGTGACCAGGTGAGTGATGGAGGCCCTGAGTACCAGTGAGTGATGTGTGAGGCCCCAGTGACCAGGTAGTGATGAGGCCCCAGTGACCAGGTGAGTGATGTGAGCCCCTAGTGACCAGGTGAGTGATGTGAGGCTCCCAGTGACCAGGTGAGTGATGTGAGGCCCCTTGGGACCAGGTGAGTGATGTGAGGCCCTCAGTGACCAGGTGAGTGATGTGAGGCCCTATGACCAGGTGAGTGATGTGTGAGGCCCCTAGACCAGGTGAGTGATGTGAGGCCCCCAGTGACCAGGTGGAGTGATGTGTGAGGCCCCAGTGACCAGGTGAGTGATGGAGGCCCCAGTGACCAGGTGAGTGATGTGAGGCCCCTAGTGACCAGGTGAGTGATGTGTGAGGCCCCCAGTGACCAGGTGAGTGATGTGAGGCCCCTAGTGACCAGGTGAGTGATGTGTGAGGCTCCCTAGTGACCAGGTGTGAGTGATGTGAGGCCCCCAGTGACCAGGTGAGTGATGTGAGGCCCTCAGTGACCAGGTGAGTGATGTGAGGCTCCCTAGTGACCAGGTGAGTGATGTGTGAGGCCCCAGTGACCAGGTGAGTGATGTGAGGCCCCAGTGACCAGGTGAGTGATGAGGCCCCTAGTGACCAGGTGAGTGATGTGTGAGGCCCCTAGTGACCAGGTGAGGATGGAGGCTCCCTAGTGACCAGGTGAGTGATGTGTGAGGCTCCCTAGGTGACCAGGTGAGTGATGTGTGAGGCCCCTAGTGACCAGGTGAGTGATGTGAGGCCCCTTAGTGACCAGGTGAGTGATGTGTGAGGCTCCCCTAGTGACCAGGTGAGTGATGTGTGAGGCTCCCTAGTGACCACGGTGAGTGATGTGTGAGGCTCCCTAGTGACCAGGTGTGCTGGGGGAGGCTCCCTAGTGACCAGGTGAGTGATGTGTGAGGCTCCCTAGTGACCAGGTGAGTGATGTAGGCCCCTAGTGACCAGGTGAGTGATGTGAGGCCCCCTAGTGACCAGGTGAGTGATGTGTGAGGCCCCAGTGACCAGGTGAGTGATGTGTGAGGCTCCCAGTGACCAGGTGAGTGATGTGAGGCCCCTAGTGACCAGGTGAGGATGTGTGAGGCCCCTAGTGACCAGGTGAGTGATGTGAGGCCCCTAGTGACCTGGTGAGTGATGTGAGGCCCCTAGTGACCAGGTGAGTGCTGTGAGGCTCCCTAGTGACCAGGTGAGTGATGTGTGGGCCCCTAGTGACCAGGTAGGCTGTGAGGCTCCCTAGGACCAGGTGAGTGATGTGTGAGGCTCCCTAGTGACCAGGTGAGTGATGTGTGAGGCCCCTAGTGACCAGGTGAGGATGTGAGGCTCCCTAGTGACCAGGTGAGTGATGTGGAGGCCCTGGTGACCAGGGAGTGATGTGTGAGGCTCCCTAGTGACCAGGTGAGTGATGGAGGCCCCTAGTGACCAGGTGAGTGATGTGGAGGCCCTTTAGTGACCAGGTGGAGATGAGGCCCCTAGTGACCTGGGTGAGTGATGAGGCTCCCTAGTGACCAGGTGAGTGCTGTGAGGCCCCTAGTGACCAGGTGAGTGATGTGAGGCTCCCTAGTGACCATAACTGCTGTTGTAGGGAAATAAAATCACATCACTTAAAGACCAGACACTATTTCATTTCCCTAACCTAACCTAACCTAACCTAACCTAACCTAACCTTATTGGGCCACTGTCCAGACATGTGCCATCATAATGTATATCAGTCAATTTAAATCATTTTACTGTTCATTGTTGTTTTAATTTATTAACTTGGTGCATTACTTGGTTAACAATACAGGGATTAGTTGTTGTTGTGCTGGTAAATTATGGGCCTTGTAAGTCTGGCCCTGGTGCACACATACACACTGTACACACACAACAATCTCTTCCACACATACACACACAACAATCTCTTCTACACACATACACACACAACAATCTCTTCACACACACACACACACACACACACACACACACACACACACACACACAACAATCTTCGCTCTTTTGGTTTACCTTCTAACAAATGATCATTAACATCATAATATTTGTAAAGTTGATAAATGACTTTATGTTTCAGGGTACATAGCCAATTCTGCCAAGTGTAACAGAGCATGGCACGCAAGTGTGTGGGTGTGTAGGTGTTATGAAGGCTACGTCGGTGAATTCTGCGAGTGTGAGCTTTCAGACGGGAGAGTGTTACCATTAATGAAACGAGATGTTACGACTAGCACCTCACCAAAGTGTAGCGGTCGAGGCGAGTGTATTGTAGTAGTGTGTAACAAGAACACAGATAATTCTAAGGTAAGACTGTTGGCATCGTCGTTAAGGGTAGTTTATGGTTTGGCCGTGTGTAACAAGAACACAGATAATTCTAAGGTAAGACTGTTGGCATCGTCGTTAAGGGTTTGGTGGTATGGTGGGTAAAGGCTCAAGATATAAGGCACACTTTGAGTTTCCTTTGAGTCATTAACACACATCTCAACTCTTCAGTTTCGTTGACTAAGAGACGTTCTCGGCCTTTACTAAGGAATATTCTTGAGGCTTCACTTGTTATTATATTACATTAAATATTCTTAAGTTTCTATTAACTGACACAAAATATCATGGATTATTTGACTGAATTTAATCTTCTGTACTGCTTGTTAGTTTTCTTGTAAGTGAGGTAGTTGTCTGTTACACACTGTTGACAAGTACTGGCTCTCTGTTACACACTGTTGACAAGTACTGGCTCTCTGTTACACACTGTTGACAAGTACTGGCTCTCTGTTACACACTGTTGACAAGTACTGGCTCTCTGTTACACACTGTTGACAAGTACTGGCTCTCTGTTACACACTGTTGACAAGTACTGGCTCTCTGTTACACACTGTTGACAAGTACTGGCTCTCTGTTACACACTGTTGACAAGTACTGGCTCTCTGTTACACACTGTTGACAAGTACTGGCTCTCTGTTACACACTGTGGGTCATAAATAAATTGTAATAAGTTTTATAAATATTGGTTATTCAGAGCAGAAAATATCACCATAATAATAGAGTGATAAATAATTCAACTTTAGCAAATAATTATATGGATTTTTCACAACTTATGGACGCCCACAAAATGTATCTGCAAAACTTAAAAAGAATAATAATAATGTAAATAAGATATAAAAATTATCTTAACAAATAATTAAAAATAAAATAAATGTCTCGTTTACAGATAATCTCGGGGACACATTGCCAGTGTACCAATTACGAAGGCTGCCAAGGGGCCAATAGCCTCATGTGCTCTGACCACGGGGAATGTAAATGTGATAAGTGTAACTGTGTTGAAGGCTGGACTGGTGAATTCTGTGACTGTGAGAATGCCACTCACAACTGTAGACAGACTGGTAAGTATTTATGACTTTATCAACCACTGACTGTTAATGAGTATAACTTGTTGCAGGAGTAAATTATCTCTCAAAGTTTCTTCAAAAGGAGTAGCTTGGTTTATAAGGTCACCCTCCAGTTGATGTCGCTATAGTTAAAGTTCCTCATGACAAAGTGGTTGTTAGGGTTGCTTCAGTTGAGGCTCTTAAGTTAATGAGTTACATTTAAGGGATCTGTAAATACATCCAACAATGATTAAGTCTCTCTCTCCCCTTCAGTTTCCTTTTACACCATATTGATTCTTGAAAAACATCCTCTGCCTGTACCATCACCTAGCTGGCTCTAAGGTCTTGCCTACCATATATAAACCACACGCCCATCTTCCAAGTTGCCTGAGAAAGGTTCGTAAATGAGTCGTATCTCTCTATATTGTACTCCGTCCTCCAGGTCGATTCTCCTGTTCTTGTACAACAGTTTTACAACACTACTGGAACAGGTTGATGGGTCTTGAATGAAGTCTCAAACTCTGCTTTATTATTAAGTGTTAGTGTTCGAACTGGAAGTAGTCGTCAGTTGTGGCTCTGAACTTGGTGCTGTAGTGGCTCTGAACTTGGTGCTGTAGTGGCTCTGAACTTGGTGCTGTAGTGGCTCTGAACTTGGTGCTGTAGTGGCTCTGAACTTGGTGCTGTAGTGGCTCTGATCTTCTATCCTCAGCAGCTGTGTCGTTTACCGTTTACCGTTTACCGTTTTGTGGTCAGAGATGACATTGTTTACACGGTCTGCTGCTCCTCCTGGGTGAGGGGGTGCGGGGTATCTCACTGTCCTCTGGTTCACTACTGGTGCACTTGACTCCACTACTTCCCCCTTGTATATAACCCATCCTCACCCTTCATTGTTCAAACTCATCAGTTCTTTGTGCTGTTCCCTCCACAGTACTATGTGATCTGGACTTCCATGTTATGTGGTCCCTTGCAGCCTTATTTATCGGGTTCTTAACTCTAATACACAACCTAAAAATGGTAAATCAGGAGTCAGGAAATATTGTTTATATAAATATTTATGGTTATGTAAATTAGTGTTTATTGTTTTTAATGCTGTACTGTAATAATTATAATTGTTTACTACATTTATTGATATCATTTGTCAATAATCTATAGGTCACATTTTATTTGTTTTTATTTTTTATTTCAGAAAACCAAGAAATCTGTTCAAGCCACGGCAGGTGTGGATGCAACAGGTGTGTGTGTGACGCTACCTACCTCGGCAAGTTTTGTGAGGACTGTACGGTGAGCGTGTCTCTCTTGTCTACAACATCAAGGTTATATAAATCACATAAATTATTATCTGTACAGTGTAAATAATTCTTCTTTCTTGTAAGCTTGTTCATGTTTGTCCTTCTGACATTTAACATCAGATATAACTTGTTCTTACATGTTAGATAGAGTAATGGTGTCAAGTAAGTATTGCTGTGTTGTTGACAGAACTGTTTATGGCCACTTCTGATGTGGTCGTCTGTTTCAGTCTCTTGAAGTGACAAGGAGGACCCAGTGATGTACTCTAAGCCTTAATTAAAACTACTGAATAAGTTAATATATATATATATATATATATATATATATATATATATATATATATATATATATATATATATATATAACGTGTGGATCTCTGCCATAACAGAACTGTGCAGGCAAGTGTGTGGAATACAAGTCATGTGTGCAGTGTCAGGTGTTCCAGACGGGAGAACTCTCACCGGAAGAATGCCTGACCAACTGTACAGATTTTAACTCAACTAAAGTGATATCCATTGAAGGTTTGTTTGTTTGTTTGTGGCATTTATATATTTAGGAAAAAGATAAGATGAAGTGCAAGTGAAGAACAATATTGGAATAATCAAAAGTATTTCGAGTTAATGAGATTTTGTTGAAAGTCGTGCAGAGTTTTTATAAAAGATTTAAACTTGAGGGTAACAGAGAGGTATCATGCTTGCCTCTCACTACAGCTTCCTGGGTTCAAGTCCCCAGGTGAGATGTGAGGAGGGTGTTACTAATTGAAAGAAGAAAAAGACAACTTGTTCACCTTTACCACACAGTCTTATACCTCCCAGAACATCCTCTATATATAGTTTGTGTAACTCGCTCCAAAAACTACCTTTATGATTTTATATTAGACGCTATGACACCCGATGAAGGGTTTTGACGACCCCACCGAGATAACGGGAGTCGCGGGATTCATTCTGAAATTCATCGGATCCTTCCCTAAAGATACTTTTTGTAGCGAGTGTTACCATACAGTATATCCTGTACTCACTGTATATCTATGTTTTCATTACAGATGTTGAAGGACAGTTATGTGCCTTCGCTCAAGACGATAACTGTAGATTTTTCTTCCGGTTTGCTCTCAACAGCGCTGGACTGCTGGGGGTCTGGGTACAAGAGGAACTCGAGTGTACCAACCCTGTTAGTCTGAAATGTAAGATATAACTTCATTTGTTTATAAAAAATAATCATATTTTTTAAAGTTTGTTGTTTGTGTTAGAATATTGTTTTACAGAGAGAGTGGAGACAACTGTATGATATGATGAAACCTTTTAATGTTTTACTCAGATATGACACTCACACTCCAAGATGGTCCACAGTACCTTGGTCCACAGTACAGTACCTTGGTCCACAGTACCTTGGTCCACAGTACAGTACCTTGATCCACAGTACAGTACCTTGGTCCACAGTACCAGTACCTTGATCCACATACAGTACCGGTCCACAGCACCTTGTCACAGCACCTGGTCCACAGTACACACCTTGATCCACAGTACCTGGTCACAGTACGCACCTTGATCCACAGTACAGTACCTTGGTCCACAGTACAGTACCTTGATCCACAGCACCTTGGTCCCCAGTACAGTACCTTGGTCCACAGTACCTTGGTCCACAGCACCGGATCCCAGTACAGTACCTTGGTCCACACAGTCCACAGTACAGTACTTGGTCCACAGTACAGTACCTTTCCACAGCACCTGGTCCACAGCACACCTTGGTGGTCCACAGTACAGTACCTTGGTTGGTCCACAGTACACTTTGTACCTTGGTCCACAGTACAGTACCTGATCCACAGTACAGTACCTTGGTCCACAGTACCTTGGTCTACAGTACAGTACCATGGTCCACAGTACCTTGGTCCACAGTACAGCACTTGGTCCTGATACAGTACCCAGAGTCCACAGTACAGTACCTTGGTCCACAGTACAGTACCTTGGTCCACAGTACAGTACCTTGGCCCACAATACGTACTTGATCCAAGTACAGTACCTTGGTCCACAGTACAGTACCTTGGTCCACAGTACAGTGCATTGGTCACAGTACAGTACCTTGGTCCACAGTACAGCACCTTGGCCCACACAGTACAGTACCGGTCTGATACAGTACCTTGGTCCACAGTACAGTACCTTGATCACAGTACAGTACCTTGGTCCACAGTACAGTACAGCTTGGTCCACAGTACAGTACCTTGGTCCACAATACCTTGGTCCACAGTACAGTACCTTGGTCCACAGTACAGTACCCTTGGTCCACGGTACAGTACCATGGTCCCCAGTACCTTGGTCCACAGTACAGTACCATGGTCCACAATACCTTGGTCCACAGTACCTTGGTCCACGGTACAGTACCATGGTCCGGTACCTTGTCCACAGTACAGTACCATGGTCCACAATACCTTGGTCACAGTACCTTGGTCCACAGTACAGTACCATGGTCCACAGTACCTTGGTCCTGGTACAGTACCATGGTCCACAGTACAGTACCTTGGTCCACAGTACAGTACCAGTCCACATACAGTACGCGTTACATTGTGGTCCACAGTACAGTACCATGGTCCACAATACCTTGGTCCACAGTACCATGGTCCACGGTACCATGGTCACAGTACCTTGGTCCACAGTACCTTGGTCCACAGTACAGTACCATGGTCCACAGTACCATGGTCCACAATACAGCAGTCCACAGTATGGTCCACCGTACCATATTAGGTCCACGTGCCTTGGTCCACAGTACCATGGTCCACAGTACAGTACCTGGTCCACAGTACCTTGATCATGGTACCTTGGTCCACAGTACAGTACCATGGTCCACAGTACCATGGTCCACAGTACAGTACCTTGGTCCACAGTACGCGGTCCAATTACCTTGGTCCACAGTACCATGGTCCACGAGTACAGTACCTTGGTCCACATACCTTGGTCCACAGTACCTTGGTCCAGAGTACAGTACCATGGTCCACAGTACCATGGTCCACAGTATTCATTTTCTCACACAGTACCTTGGTCACAATACCTTGGTCCACAGTACAGTACCTGGTCCACAGTACCTTAGTCCACAGTACCTTGGTCCACAGTACCTAGTCCCTGACCGCATGGTTCCTGAGTACCAGTACCATAGGTCCACACAGTACCTTGGTCCACAGTACCAGCAGTCCACAGTACGCGGTCCACAGTACCTTGGTCACAGTACAGTACCATGGTCCATGCAGCAGTCCACAGTACCTTGTCCACAGTACAGTACCATGGTCCACAGTACTGTAGTCCACAGTACAGTACCATGGTCCACAGTACAGTACCATGGTCCACAGTACAGTACCATGGTCCACAGTACAGTACCATGGTTCCACAGTACAGTACCATGGTCCACAGTACCACATGGTCCACAGTACCTTGGTCACAGTACAGTACCATGGTCCACAGTACCTTGGTCCACAGTACGCAGTCCACGGTACCTTGGTCACAGTACCTTGGTCCACAGTACCTTGGTCCACAGTACCATGGTCCACAGTACCTTGGTCCACAGTACCATGGTCCACAGTACCTTGGTCCACAGTACCTTGGTCCACAGTACCTTGGTCCTGGAGTCATAATGGTCTATAGTCACCCATTAAATTGGCATCATCTCTCCTCCTGAACCCCAAGATTCAGACTCATGAACCTGAAGCAGTGAACGGTGGTGTTCATGAGTCTCATTATGGTTCAGGATTATCAGGTGTGTGGTGACTGTAGCCAGACAACTGGCTCAACATGAACTATTATCACATATCCCGTGAAGAGTGTGACTGGTGATGTAGATGTGAGGTGAGACATGACTGGTCTCTTTCTCTCCAGACAGTTAGTTACTTCTCACAATTTATACAAGAGATAATTTCTGCATCAATTTCCATTTTTCCTTTCATGTAATTGTCACATAGAATATTTTTAATTTTTTAATTAAAGTATATGATATTTTTTGAGTATAGTATAGTATAGTGT